CTTTGAACTGTGATCTTCCTGATCTCTGCCTCCTGAGTAGCTAGGATTGCAGGCGTGAGCCACTGGCGCCCAGCAACATCAGGAGACTTTGTAACCAGAGTCTTAGGCCAGAGGCACAACTCTGGGGTCCCCATGGACCAGGCTTAGCCACTTAATTGAGCAATCAGGAGACAAAGGAAGGTAAAACAGGAAAGGAGTTTTTCTTTGTGTGGCTCCGCTGGAAACAGATCTAAGTGCTGGCTTTGGGGTGTCGACAGTAGCTTTGGGGTTAAATAGAGAAAAAGCAAAGGCAAGAGTGAGGGAGTTTTCATGGCAAGCCATCTTGGTCAGCCCATGGTCTGGTTGATCACTGACCAGCCCATGGTCTGGTCAGTCCCAGTCTTGGGACTGGTCACTTAGTCATCTTGGCAGAAAGGAAGTCAGTGCTACTGGGGATTTTTAGTTTCCACCATGGAATGTTTATCAGACATGTGACCCTGGAGTGTAAGATGAACTGAGGGAAAAAGAACAACTCAGAAAGGAACAAGTCAGACAGACAAAAGTGGAGTAGGTTAGGTGAAAAATGGAATTCTCCCAGACATCAGCTTGTGATGTCCACCTGTGATTCATGACATTAAGTTTGATCCAGGAAGCCAGGAATGGTGGTGCATACCTGTAATCCCAACTACTTGGGAGACAGAGGCAGGAGGATCTGGAGTTCAAAGCCAGCCCAGGCAAAATTATTCAGACCTTATCCCAGAGGACATTGGCAAGGTTTTTTCTTTTTTGGCATTAGAATGGCCATCCTAAAGGCATGCAGTGGTATCTCACTGTGGTTCTGATTAGCATTTCCCTAATGTTGGGGATATTAAGCATCTTATGTGCTATTTGGCAATTTGCATATATCCTTTGGGGAAATATCTGCTCAATTCAGTGGTATAATAAATAATTTTGGGCTGGGGATGTAGCTCAGTGACATAGTCCTTGCCTAGCTTGTACAAGGCCCTGGATTCAATCCCTAGCACCACCAAAGAAAAAGAGATTGGTGGGTGTTAGAAATAGAGTCTGGGGTCTCAGGATTCCCAAACAATGATCAGAGAAATACTGGAGAGTCCTTCAGCAAGGCAGTTTTACTTCTGCAGAAGGGTGTACAACAGACAAGAAGCCTGGCAAGCAAGCACACTGAGTGGGAAGTCCACTCAGGTTTTATCCCTAACATAACCTTGCCCCTCATGAGGATTGGTCCACACTTGGCTTCACAGCTTTTCCCAATTGGCTATTGTTCAGAGTAGGGGTGGGGTTAACATTTACAGCTCAGCAAGGAAATGAAACTCAGGGCTCCAGGAATATGAAACTTAAAGAAACGAAACTTTTAAGTCTGTGAAACTAAAATGGGTACCGGTTCAAAGTAGCAGTGGTTTGGTTTAGCTACTGTGACAGAAAAGATAGGTCTAAATCCTGCAGTGGGAAAAAAAGAAAAAATACCTACACACATATATATGCACAGTTCCTGCAGAGCTCCTAAAATCCGTAGAATTTTCTTAGTAATACAGTCTAACTTTTGTTACTCACAGTAAGCTCCCTTAGATGGCAGCTGAGTTTACGCTAATCAAGTGATTTAGCAGGGACCCTAAATAGCCACTCACCAGGTAAGCCATGGTGCTGCCTCTGTCCAGGGCATGGCTGACCTTTGTGCCCACTCAACGTACCACAGGCATTACCCCATTAGACGTCACTTGCAAAACATTCATCCAAAGACAAAATCAAGCCGGGTACAGTGGCTCACTCTTGTAATCCTAGCTACTTAGGAGGCAGAGATCAGGAGGATTGCGGTTCAAAGCCAGCCTGGGCAAACAGTTCTTGAGACTCTATCTTGAAAAAACCCATCACAAGACAGAGCTGGTGGAGTGGCTCAAGTGGCCTAAGTGTGCAGTCCTGAGTTCAAACCCCAGTACCGACACAAATAAACAAAAAAAGATAAAACCAAGTCCAAGTGTAAATGAAGTACTGGCCAGAGGCCTGACTGGGGATTGCAACATGTGAGGTTCACTGGCCCGGATACGCAACTAGAGATGAGTAGTGGCGACAGGCAAAGAAAGATTTGTGATGTGTGCAGGAACAGGTTTAAAAAGAAGAAAGACTGGGGCACGAGTGAGAAGTGCACATACCTGAGCAGTCCCGGGCACAATGGGGTCCTGTTGATCATCTCAGGATTGGCCAGGCGGGGCCTGGTCATGATAGGAAAGGCACTGGTGCTGGTCACAGATATTTTTCCTTCAATCCTGTTGTTCCAGAATTCAAAGTGACTGTAGGAGAGTGGCCCAGAGGAAAGGACCACAATGGAGGCAGTGGTGTCAAGTTTATCTCCTGCTTTTAGTTCCCCTGTGAACTAAAAGTGAAGGAGTCAGTGGTTTCAGCAGAAGCCATTTCTAAGCACCTGTCAAACACCACTGGAAAATTCCAAGCACAGGGTAATGTGTAAACATACTTACGTTTCTCCGTTTTTTTTTTTGTTGTTGTTGTTGTTGTTGTTTTTTGGCAGTTCTGGGGTTTGAACTGAGAGTCTACACCTTGAACCACTCCACCAGCCCTTCTTTATGAAGGGTTTTTTGAGATAGGGGCTCACAACCTATTTGCACGGGCTGGCTTTGAACTGTGATCCTCCTGATCTCTGCCTCCTGAGTAGCTGAGATTACAGGTGTGAGCCATCCATAGTCTCACTCATCTTTTTTTTTCCACATGGATTCCAAAAGTTCTTGTTATTTTTAGATGATTTCTACTTGTATCTATTATGAATCCTATTTTCCCTATTATATTTGCTAACTGGCTAATAGTGGGTATAAGAAAGTTGTTTTGTAGTTCACTTTTAGGACTATTTTTATCATCTGTCAACCATTTGAGTGAAATTTAAGAGTAGGATCAGTATTAATGGTTAGGTTTGTATATACAAAAACCATCTACAAATACTAGCATTTCCTAAATCACTTAATCCTAACAACAATCTTAGATCAGGCAATATTATTATCTGTATTTCACAGCTGAAATGAAACATGACTTGCCTAAGGGCAGAATTAAACTTCAACACTAGATCTAAGCCATTTTTTGGCTCTGGAGTTCACGCCTCCCGACAAACTGTAGTAGCTCTATCTTTAATCTTTTTCCCCGCTTTATTTCTGTTTGCAGACTAAGTACTCTGGATAGAACTTCCAGAACAATGTTAACTGTGATGACAGCAAATACCCTTGTCTCATTCTCAGTTTTAATTGGGAAATGTTCCCAATGCTCCACTTCTAAATACAATAAAGATGGCTACAGCTTAAAAAGAAAATCTTCAAGTCAGATATGGTGGCCATGCCTGCTATTCCACCCAGCACTCAGGAAGGTGAGTGAGTGTGAGGTCAGCCTGGGCCACTCAGTGAGACCCTGCCTAAATATATATAGGAGTATTAGTAATCAAGAATATTCTAGATGGGCAGTGGAATCCCAGCTACTCAGTAGGCAGACAACAGGAGGATCACAGTTTGAAGCTAGCCTGGGCAAATAGTTCGCAAGACCCTATCTCAAAAAAATCCATCATAAAAACAAGGCTGATGCAGTGGCTCAAGTGGCAGAGCACCTGCCTAGTAAGTGTGAGGCCCTGAGTTCAAACCCCAGTGCTGCCAAAAAAAAGAATATTCTAATAAACAGCCTCAAGTCAATCTATTTGGAAAAAGGATGAATCACGAAACTTTCTTGGTAAGGATTTCCTTCCTAAATGTTTATTTGACACATTTACCATACATAAAATACCACACTTTCTTGAGAACAGAAACTGGCCATTGTACTGATGCTGACGCAAGAGAAATTCAAGCCTCCAACAAGAGGCAAGAGTCTGTAAATTACCCCCCAAAACTCAACTCGACACCTGAAGATCTGCAAGAAACCCAGAGGTCAGCCTCTGTGGGAGGCCAATATGCATATTTTATCCAACAAACAATGCACAACTAAAAGAACTGTGTGTTTCCAGGAGAATGATGCCTATGCACACCTGGATTAGCACCAGAAAGTCCACAGGAGATGAATGCCTTCCAACTGAGATCCCCCAGCCAGGGTTTAGCTAAGATTCTCACTGCTCTTCACAGTGACCTCTCCCCTTCCAGAGTGGAGTGACCAGTGGCCTCAACTGCTTTGTGTCTGCAGTGCTTTGTGATGGTAAATGTGTCTAGCCTGATAGATTTTATATGTAAATTTAAATCAAGCTTGCAGAGTTTTACACTTGCCTTAGCATTATTCTGAAATGACTGCACTATGTCCTGTTCTTAGGGCGATTCTGGGAAAGCAAAACACCCTTTCAGAACTTCTTGTGTGACTGTTACTGTTTAGAATGGTGCCCTGCATGGTCTCACCAGGGTACCAACAGCCTGGAGGGTCACTGGAAGAAGAACCTTCAGTACTGTGATCAGGCTAGGAAAAATTCCACTGGGAGCCAGGCTCTGTGGCTCACAGCTGTAATCCTAGCTACTCAGGAGGCAGAGATCAGGAGGATTGCGGTTCAAAACCAGCAGAGACAAATAGTTCTTGAGACCCTATCTGGAAAAAACCCATCACAAAACGGGCTAGTGGAGTGGCTCAAGGTGTAGACCCTGAGTTCAAACCCCAGTATAGAAAAAAGAAAAATCCACACAAGGCAGGTGTGGGGCTCATGCCTGTCATCTCAGGTGGAGATCCAGAAGATTGCAGTTCAAGGCCAGCCCTGGCAAAAAGTTAGAAAGATGCTATCTAACAAAATAAGCCAGGCATGGTGGAGTGTGCCTGTGTGCCTGTAGTCCCTGATATACAGGATGCACAGGTAGTAGGATCGAGGTCCAGGCTGGTGTGGGTAAATGTGTGAGAGCCTATCCTAAAAATAACTAAAGTAAAAAGGGGATTGGGGGCATGGCTCAAGCAGTAGAGTGCCTGCCTACAAAGCGTAATGCCCTGAGTTCAAACCCCAGTACCACCAAAAAGAAAAAAGAAAAAAAAAAAAAAAACTGGAAAAAAGGTTCCACACTGCAGTGTCCGCAGAGCATCAGCTAACGTTATGCTGTGCCCGTGATGCAGAGCTCTTTGGTTGCGCCATATTAACTGCGTGGATGAAAACTGCCTTGCTTACAAGAGACCAGTGGTTCTTAAGTGGGGAGGTGGGGGAGATTGCTCCCAGAGGATGTCAGCAGTGTGTGGAGACAAGTTCTCACAGTCATTGCGGCTCCTGGCATTTAGCAGGGGCAGAGGGCAGAAATATTCACAGGCAGTCCCCACAGTAAAAATCCTCAGGACACAAATGTCAGTAAGAACTGAGGTCAGACCATTCTGAGAGGTTCACATAACAAATAATGGGGTCAACCATGAGGTCACAGGGGCACTGTGGAGGCTCCACCTACACCTTAACGGCTCTGAGGGGCTCCCATCAACCTTCACGCGCCTGTTCATCCTAACTTCCATCCCAGACCACGGCCAGCGCCTTTGTATCTAGGAACTTGATGAAAATTTGCTGAATGAGCTGGGCATGGTGCTGCAGTCTATAATCCCAGCACTCCACAAGCTCAGAAGGAAAATTGGAAGTTCAAGCCACCCTGGGCAAAGTAGCAAAAGTCTGTTCTAAAAGCCAAAATTAAAAAACAAACAGAAGTGCTGCATGGTCCACACATTAAGGGGAATGCGTGCCGACACTCAGATTCCTGAGTGGTAAATGAAATTCAGTGGTGCTACAGTGCACTTCACTTTAAACCTGGAACATGTAACACAGCGGCAGACGCCATTCAGGCCTTTTGTTTTTAAAAAACTTATTTACAATTTTACATATGCACTTATCAATATATCTTCTATCTTTACAATTACAAAAGTACTGAAAGCCCTGGAGGGTGGTGACGTTGAACTCCCTTCAGCAGACACTTTTGTAGCACTGTCTCACTTTGTCCAAGCCAGTGATGGCCACAGAGGAAGCACGGAAGAGAATCACGGAGGAAAAAAGGTTCAGACAAAATTTTCACACAAGCCTTAAAAGAACCTATTTCAGTAACTCAAATAAATAGTACTTTATTATTTACTATGCTTCCCCTGCCAGGAAAAAGAAGAAAATAAACAAAACAACCCAACACCACACACTGTACCTTGAGAACGCCCTGACCTTCGGGAGCAATGAAGTCACAGTCTGGACTCCAGTCAGTGCCTATGGCACGGGCGCCCGTGATCCAGGCTCACACAGAAGCGTCCTGGGGGTGCCATCATCCTGCGTACACCTGAGGCTGCAGTGGTGGGGGGAGTTTGTCATTCTCCACATTCTCAGAGTCAATGGCTGCTAATGGCTGGCTTGGGGGCTTGATTTCAAGGGGGTATTTCTCAACAATGTCTTGGACCTCCCTGGCAATGCCATCCGTCCAGTCTATTAAGTCTTTTTCCAGTTTCTTGGCCTCGCTCATGATCCTCTCCTGGCGTTCATGGAGCTGAGACAGGAGGTCCAGGTTCTTGTACATCTGCTTCACACCCAGGCAGGCGTCAGGAGACCAGCTCTCAGCCTCCTGCTTCCTGGGGGAGGTCTGGCCAGACATGTAGCGGTCGAAATCCTCCTGACTCAGGTTCAAAGACTGGGCGTCCAGCTTCTCAATGAAGGCCACCGCACAGCACTGCCAATGGAAGGGAACAGTACTACAGTCCAATAATCACACACATTATTTACAGAGCATTCAGACGCAGACTCATGAATCCCCACAACTTCAGCTTCAAACACTACCGGCTCACAGCCAGGCCTATTTCCTCCACACACCAAGAGCTCCTGGCACACTATGAAACCATTCCCTCAGAGCTCCTGCCACAGGACACTGGGGCGTGGGCCATTGAGGCATTTTTATGACTCATACCTCTGGACCTCAAAATTAATTTTTTTTTTTTTGCTCACTGTACTGGAGATTCAATCCAGGGCTTCATGCCTGTCAGGTAAGTGCTATACCACTGAGCTATACTCCCAGACCTACTGTTTAAATTTTTATTTTTGGGGGGGGGGGCTCTGGGATTCGAACACTGGGTCTCACCACTAGGCAGGTACTCTACCACTTTAGCCACTCCACCACCCCTTTACTGTGTTTGAGACAGTCTTGGTAACTTTGCCTGGGTTGGCTTTGAACTGGCAATCCTCTGGCCTCTGCCACCAAGTGGCTAGGAATACAAGCATGCAGCCAGCCTTCAAGGAGATATTTTAACATCAAATGTTTACATCAGACAACCAGAGTTAGCTTTCACATCTGTCACTGACAGATCTGTGTGTGACCCTATAAGGTTACTTGAGTCTGTAAGTTAGGGGTGGGGGGACAGACATCAACCAGACTTCTTGTAAGAATCCAACACACATACTTGCAAAGCACAGCCCAGGTGTGGGGGGGGTGGGGGGGGATGATGGACACAGGGGTGCTGGGCAGTGCCCAGTTAAGCAGACACTACCTAGGTACCTTTCTACAAGAAACACGTAGCACTCGCACATCTTAAAGCTATTTTCACAAGAAAAAACATACAACATAAACAGTGAAAACCAGCTATTCTCAGAATTTCTCCCAAGAATGCATCCTATGTTACTACTCAAGCAAACAAATTGCCTCTGTGAGGAGACTCTCATGGCTCCACTGCAATGATTCATCTGAAGACAACAGGTCCATCTGTGTGGAGTCACTGAAGCCTCCTATACCTGGGGATAGGAGGGACCTTGGACAATTCTAACATTTCTGCTTAGGTGACTTGAGGAACAGGGAATATTGGAAAAGAGAAAAGCATTTGATGAAGAGACAGTTTCAGCTCTGAACAGTGTTTGAGGTACAACGCATACTTGGAGCTCAGAGTGAGTTCAAGACCAGTGACACAGGCCAGTGGGTCTGTACTGAACAGGGATGAACAGAGCTCTGTGACTGGACAAGACAGTGTAGGGAGAAAGAAGTACAGAGAGGACAGGACACCAGGAAGAACTGAAGGGGCAAACTAAAGGACCCAGAGTCAATAAGGAAGGTGTGGAACTGTGGAAGCCAGACAAAACGAAGAACCAAAACGGCCTCTCATGCCAAGGAGAAGGAGAGTGAGCTAAGTCTTTCCAAAACGGTCTGAGTCTGTGATCTGACTCACAGTATGTGACTCCCGAGCCAGCACACGGGCCACAGTGGCCACCTGTGCTGAGGACAGGAAGCCACCCCCCCTTCAGGCTGACTCCTCCCCTCCCGGCTCTCTTCCCTGACGGCACAGTGGAGTCTCACCAGGTTGGTGAAGTAGTAGCCGTCCTCCCCAGTCATCAGCCGGCTTGGGTTGCAGAAGCGGGTGATGTACTGGATGTTGGACTGCAGGCGCGGTGGGTTGCCCTTCAGCACGATGTAGATGAGGGTGGGCAGGAAGTCATCAGCTGAGGCCGGCTCATTCTTGGTGACCTTGATGGCGTTGAAGATGTGCTTGCTGCACCTGGTGATGCAGGCCAGCTTGTCTCGAGGCACGCGCTTCGAGTCCATCTCAATGATGTCTACAAAGTCGAAGGGAGGGGCGGTGCCACCCAGGAGGAAATATACCACAAAAGAGCAGCAACAAGAAAGTTACTTTTTATCTAGCAGGCTTCCGAAGTGCTCTCACTACCCCCACCCCAGCAGTTAAGTTAGAACATGAACTAAGACCCCAAACCAGGAAAAACAAATTCATACAGCACACACAACCAGTTCCACTCCCAGCACTGCAAAAACAAAAACAAAAACAGTACCCACCACCAAACCACGTAAGCCATCAGCCAGGCACCACACAAGACAAGGTGCTCTTGGGGGTTCCTCAAACCCTCTGGCTGTGCAACAGATACTACTGTTACCCACTCTGCAGAGGAGAGTTGAGGTCCAGAGAGGTGAAATGGCTTGCCCAGGGCCACACAGATGGCAAGAGGCAGAGCAAGAATTTTTGAAACCAAATCTAACCATAAGCTCAGGCTGTAATCACAGTGGGAGACCACCCTGAGCTCCTGGGAGAAAGACGAAGAGACTTTGTCTCCTGCTTCTCCCTCGAATATGTCTGTAAACTGAGTTTAGGAAGCTCTGTGCACAGATTGTTTCTGATAAATGTGTCCTCTCAGGTGTGAAGGCTGAAAAGGCCAGTCCAAATGGAGACTCCCGATTACGAGGTGGGTAGAGATGAGGTGGTAAAAGTCTGAGCCCAGTCAGATGGAAGGAGTGGGTGCTGATGATCCACAGCACAGAGGGACAGCTGTGGCTCGCTCACTCACAGTCACCTGTGAACACTTCATGAAGATCTGGAAGACCAGGGCTCCAAGGCTCCCAATGAAAGAATGATGGAGGGGGAGATGCTAATTATCTGACTTAACCAGTATACACTATATGTATGTGTGGAAATACCACACTGAACCCCATTAATATGTATAATTATTACATATTATTAACAGCCTGGCACACATCTATAATCCCAGCACTCAGGAGGCTGAGGCAGGAGAATCAGACTTCCAGGTCAGCCTGCAACTAAAAGCAAGAGCCTGTTAAAAAAAAGCAAAACAAGGCTGGGCTTTGGTGGCTCACACCTGTAATTCTAGCTACTCAGGAGGCACAGATCAGGAGGATCACGGTTTGAAGCCATTCCCAGGGCAAATGAAAAAAACCCATCACAAAAAAGGGCTGGGAGAGTGGCTCAAGAGGTAAGAGCACCTGCCTTGCAAGTGTGAGGTCCTGAGTTCAAACCCCAATGCTGGCAAAAAACCACCCCCCCCAAAAAATCTAATAAAGGCCGGGTGCCAGTAGATCACATTTGTAATCTTAGCTATTTAGGAGGCTGAGTGAGATTGGGAGGATCAAGGTTAAAGGCCAGCCAAGACAAACAGCTCTCAAGACCCCATCTCCAAAATAACCAGAGCAAAATGGACTGGAGGTGTGGCTCAAGAGGTACAGTGCTTTGCAAGTGTAAAGTACTGAACTCAAACTGTAGATTTACATACATACATACATACATAAATTCACCTTAGCTGTATGTGATCTCAGTTTAGTTTAATACTCAAGAAATGAGACCTTGATCCTAAAAATGAAGGGGAAAAGGAGCTTCCCTGCTATTTGAAGGCATCAAATGAATAAAAGCACACCTTGCACAATGCCTGTACTGCATTCCTGTGTGTGCTTGGCAGAAGGTATTTTTAGGAATACTTTCATGACTTTGAGTTCACTAAATAGTATGGACTAATGTTACAGGGAACTGTTCCCCTATGGGGAAAAGCACCCAAACACAGAGGCTCTCAGCTCGACTGACCTGTAATTGCCTTCACCACCATGTCAGACACTTCTGGGATTTCTTCATTAACAGGGACACAGAGCATCTGAGGCGTGACCCAGTGCAGGGCTCTATAGAGAGAAACAGTAAAGAGCAAAAGGGACACTCTGTGGTCTTGATCATGGTTCCCTTCATTAAAGGAACGCAGGGCACTGATGACTGATGGTAATCCTCAGCCCAATCATTTAACCTGCTCCCAAGAGCCCAGTGACGTGAGAAAGAAACTGGAACCCTAAACAGATGCTCTGTCCTCACTGCCCACCATGGTTAACGCCCTCTTACCCTCTGTCCTCAATCTCTGAGATCCAGAGACCATGTAAGAGATCCACAACTGCGTACTCAGTTTGTGCCCTTTCTGGTCATGCCTCTCCTCCCTCCTGGCCTCATCCTTTGCTTAGTCAAGGCTCTCAACCTCCTCCTCAGTCCAGCATTTGTCTGCTACTTCTGGCCCCTAACCTTGGGCTCTGTCTTCCACCTGCCCAGCACCAACTGCTCACTTCCAATGTGACATCTCCATGTACAGACCCACTGATCCCCAAGGATCCCAGGCCCCTCTCCTGCATAGAGCCACTCACTGTGGCTCAGCTCAAGACTTTTCACACTTAGCCTGTCCCTGTGTCTCACTGCCACTGAACTAGGAAGGAGGTGGTGGACTTGCTCCAATGGTCCCAGAAAGACTATGTGTTCTGCTGTCTACTTGGTGCAGTGAAAGAGTAACTGGGCAATGGCTGAGTCACGCAGATGTGGGAGGAGCAAGGGAAGATGACACTACTGCCTTGATAAGGATATCACAGCTTACTGCCTGACAAGACTCACAAGAAACAGAAAGCAAGACCTCTATTCCTTGGAGAGCTTGGGGATCTAGCATGATCTCAAGTACCACAAGTAGTTCTTGTCCAAAGTGTCCTGGAGTGGATGGACAAGCAAGGCTACCTTGCTTGTGACTGCCTTCTGTGGCCAGACACACTTACATGTCCAGCAGGGCAGATAGCTAGCTGTACTGTCTCCTAAAGCTGAAACTCGAGTGCCTCCCTGCCCCAGTGTGACCATCCCTGGAGGGCAGTAAACATAAGACAGCAGAATTACCGGATCCTCTTTTGAATGGCAAGATCCTTCTTCTCGTCGTCAGTGGTCTCTGGACAGAACACGTGCTTGTAAAGGCGTGTCATGATATACTTTTCAATCTGGTCCATTATCTTCTCAACTCTCTCTGGAGGCACTGAGATATATGAAAGGCTATAAACCTCAGGAAAGGGCTTCAAAGTAAGAGATGTTCCCACAGTATTTCCTATATCGCGAAACAAATTTAAATGCACCCAGGATAGAAAGTGTAGGAGCTCACTGAAAAGACAACCTTTGAAGATACTACCTTGACTTCTGAGACCTCCTTTCACAGAATCCCCACCTCTAACTTCCTCTGCTCTGCCACGGTGTTGTGGGCAACCTTGCCATGTGCAAACGTCCCCCCAGCCACTCCTCTCTGTGGAGATGCATCTACATCATGTGGGTTCCCAAGACTGCCAGACACTAGTAAGATGTGCCCTTTTGTTTCTCTGAGGGATCACTGAGGCACACACACACAGGGCAGACTTCCAGATACACACGTGCCAAATGCATCCTAGAGTCATCAATAAAAGTGGCATTCCAGAGGGATCTCTAATCCCCAAAGCTCTAAGTCAGAGATCCTCCATCTCCTTCTACCCTAAGCCCCTCAAGGATTATACTATTGTGGACAGTGACTCACTGAGATGAAAGCCTCAGGTGGGAGTCATTCACAAAACTTCCCAAAAGGTTTTAATCTCTTTCACTCACAAAATTATTCCACTGCTCTGGTTGTCATGGAAAGACAGATGTGGTAGCACTGGAGAAACTGCTAAGTGTGACACCAATCACCAGAATGCCAGTGGAGGGGTCACAGGGTGGCATGGCAGAGCGGCCCAGCCCTCAGCCCCATATGACGACCAGCAGTCCCATATGGCCAGCCAGAAGCAGAGCATTACCTTTTCCCCGAGTCTGCATTCTCTCAGCCACAGTCTGGTAAAAGTCCTGAGTGCACTCTGACTGCTCCTCAATGCTCATATCCTGAAACTAGAGAACAAAGACACCACTTGGTAGCTGAACACAGTGCACAAAGGACCACGCTAAATCTTTTACGTTTCCAAAACCTACTTCTTACATGGGAGCTGGCCTAAACAGTACTTGCAAATTGTAGCACAGTCAGTCCTCCTCAGTTACATTTTATTACACATGGTTCTGACCAAGGGTGGTAAAATAAAAATCAAAAGGAATTTCAAAACAACAATTTTAAGTTCCTTGTGTATTCCACAGCTCACTGGACATGAAGAAGCTCTCAGTCGGTCCTGTGTGGTCTGCTAAGGGTTCCCTGCCCCTCATTTTGAGAAATTATGCTGCCCCAAAAGGAGGGCAAAAAACTAATGTATTTAATTGAAGTGGTGAAGTGAAAATGTGAAATGTGCTGAAAGGCAGAGCGTCTTCAGCAGAAGTTGGGCGGTGTTATGGGGAGATGGATCCAGTGTCACAGTGTGGCACTGAACTCCTGGCATCCCGAGCATACGAAGGTTCCCTCAACCCTGGTCTCCTTGGAGCCATGGATGCAGGGTGCCTGCAATCTGCAGTAATTCTGCAGGGAAGACAATCCTACCCACTCACATTATTTACAACCCATGAACTTCTCATTCTTCATAGTGTATGCACATTTGGTACTTTACACAATTTATACATCCATTTATTTATTTATTTATTTATTTTTGCAGCACTGGGGTTTGAACTCAGGGCTTCAGGCTTACTAGGCAGGCACTCTACCACATGACCCACTCCACCAGCCCTGTTTCGGCAAATTTTCAAGATAGGGTCTCAGGAACTATTTGCTCAGGCTGCCTTCAAACTCTGATCCTTCTGATCTCTGCCTTCTAAGTAGCTAAGATTACAGGCATGAGTCACAGGTGCCTGGCTAGTTATTATTATTTCTCAAGACAGGATCTCACTACATAGCCCAGGATGGTCTTGAATTCTTGATCCTCCTGCCTCAGCCTCTGGAGTGCTAGGATTACAGGCATGTACCACCACATTCAGCCTACTCATTGTTTTTTGATGGTTAATTTATTTAACCATCCTGTACTGCTGTGCACAAAGCTTCTTCTATTGTTAAACATTTATGTACTGTCACTCTGAACAGTTTTGCCAAGTCTGTTTTCTTTTGGGTTATTTCTTCGTGATACAGCTCCAAGTCATGTTAGTAGTTTAATAAGTCTGAACGACTCTAAGTATCCAGTTCTGGATCCAGTCCTTGGACATTCCCACATGCTGAAATCGCTGAAAAATGTAACGGAGTTTAAGTATTTAATTTTCTAGACTTTTCTTAGTATGCAGAAAAGGTTGTTTACCCCAGCACCCAATAGGATGAGAGAAAATGAATGATGTGAGCAAGACATGTCCCCATGGAAACTGGGGAAAATCTACTGTGTGATGCAACAACACAGGAACGGCACTGTCAACAGGGTGGTTGCAAACAGACAGGAACACATCTCAAACACATCTACAAAGTCTAGCAGGTGAGGACGTCATTAAGGTGAGCACAGAGGATACCTTACACTATCACACAGCTCGACCGTGAAGGAAGCGCCCTAAGTTGTGCTCATTTGATCTCTCAGAAATTTACATGATCAGTGGTTAGCAGGGCTTCCCTACCAGACCTGGTGCAAAGGAGACCTGTTCTGTGTCAGGTAAGTACTGGACTCAGTGCTCAACACTGAAGCTTTGTGAGCTATGTGCATAAGACTCAGTGGGCCACCTAGGCAGCAAACACAGAACGCTAGTGAAAGGCTGGAAAGTGGAGTCTGAAGTCACATCTGGGCCTCTGAGTGCGATGAGCGATGCCCTGGAAACAGGCAGGGCAGTTTTAGTAAGTACTGCAGAATGGGGCGCGTCATGCTTCTCAGCAGAAGTAAACAAATTAGAGCACTTTTCTAACATATAGGAGCAATACGTGTGCACTGCAATGCACACAACTTAGCACAGCTATCTTATGAACGCTTTACATGGCTGAAGAATGAATCACCATAAAACTGCAGTGCTGAAGTCTGAGAAGATGAAAGTTGTATGCCATAGGAAGTCTGAATTTTCTCACATTAAGGAAGCTTATCATTACTTCTAATGACTGCACACACACACACACACACACACACACAGTCAATGACAGCTCGCTTCAACTGCAAATATCCCTATGTGCTCACAAACACCTGGAGAGAGCTACATCCCTCTCAGTGCCACCACACCTCTACAGAGCAGTAAGAAAGTGTTCCTCCTTTACACAGAGTTTAACACTTAACAAGGACTTTGACAGGAGTCCACTGCTTAGTGACACCTGACCACAGCTCAACTACAGCCAACAAATAAACATCCTGCTGTTTTCTAACTCCTTTTACCTCTCTCTAAGAATTCTTTACTTCACAGAAAAAGACATTAAAGAGCTAATTCTGAGCTTCATGGTTAGAGATAGTAAAAGCAGAATTGATACCTATTTACAAAATTAATGCCTTTACAGGCAGCCTTATGCATTATTGCAACTAAAATCATGGCTTAGAAATTCTGGGTTAGCCAGGTGCTGATGGCTCATGCCTGTCATCCTAGCTACTTGGGAGGCTGAGATCAGGAGGATCTCCGTTCAAAGCCAGAACAGGCAAACAGTTCATCAAACCTCACCTCAACCAATAGCTGGCATGTGGTGGTAAGTGCCTGTCATCCAGCTATGTGAGATGCTGAGACTGGCAGGACTGTGGGTCTAGGCCAGTTTCAGAAAAAACGTTCTTGAGGCCCCATCTCAACAGAAGAACAGCTGAGCATGGTGGTGCACGTTTGTCATCCTAGATATGGTGTGAAGTCTAAAATAGGACTGAGGTGTAGGCCAGTCTGGCCAAAATGCAACATTCTATCTCCAAAACAATCAGAAAAAAAAAAAGGTGGGGGGGGCCTGGAGGAGTGGCTCAAGTAGCTATGAGTCAAACTCCTGTACCACAAAAAAAAAAAAAAAAAAAGAAAAAGAAAACTGACTTAAAGAAACAGGTGTGGAAGTCACAGCTATAGTTCTGTGGAACCTTGGACAGATCACTTACTCTCTTTGGGTTTCCTCATCTATAAAACAAAGGGACACTCTGAAACTAGATAGTTGCTAAGGTCTCTTCCAATGTCTAATACCTTTCTCTAGCTGAAAAAAGGAAAAGAAAATTAAAAATCCAAACACAAAAACAAAAGAAATAATAACAAAAAAGCCCTGAGACTATTACTAACGGTTGTTACACGGAACTGAAGGTTGACTGGGCAGTATATTATTCACAAGGTCAAAGCTAGGAGGTCCTATTACTAAGTGCATAGTTTGAGTTGCCTTGAAGTCAAAATTTCCACACAAAGATGACCCAAGCACCACAAGCTGCAGTGGAAAATAACTGGCTCGGAGTCAGGTTTTAACTTGGTTCGGAGGCTTTTCTTAGGCATTAACCCAACAGCACTGGGTCTTGATTTTCTCAGGTATAATATGATACCTCTAAAACTTTTCCTAAAACCTGAAGTCCATGATTCTAAGTGGTCATTGTCAACCTACCCTTTTGTAATGCATTCCTTCCAAAAACATCTTGGTCTGCTTATAGATTTCTTGGCCTGTCTTGTGGAAGGTCTTGAGAAATTCTATGAACTCCTTAGACACTCTATCCGTCTCAATGCTGGTTTGCCGGTTTATGGAAGGACTGGGAGCCTTTGGTTCCTGAATTTCTGCTGGGAAAATTAAACACAGTTTCAGTACACAGAAGATCTACGCATGGAATCACTTTAAGCATCTTACTTCAGATTGTTTAAATTACGCTTAATCAAATTAAATTCAAATTTAAACATTTTACGTTTGAATGTTTGGAAACATTTCCTACTTTGTAAGTAGTAAGTGTAAGTACATAAAACCTCATGATAAAAAACATGCTTTTCTCAAAGAAAAGTAGCTCTATTAGTATTTTCTTAAACAAAGCATCAGGCTTTGATTGTCATCAATACTGAAATGGCACCTCTATCATGAACACCTTTCTCAGAGAATACCTGAGTCTATGAAGCAAATCAACAAATAAAGTGACAATTGGTAGAAGCACTGAAGTGTTAGATGACACATGAAGTGTTAGACGCACTTTCCTAACACCATCTGAAAGTTCCTGTGAAGACACGATTATTTACCCACCATTCATCTGCAACTCACACTGCTCAAAGGAAACAAACACACCTCAAGTGGCACAAGGAGCCTGACAGCGTGCATCAGAGAAAGGGATGCAGACAGCGAACTACTGCAATCAGCTGGGCGCACTACGGTCTCCACACTGGAAGAAAATGGGGCCTTTACAGAGGTACAGGTGTGGGGCAGAGGGAGTGCTTTCAGAAGGCATGACTGCCACTTGGCCTCTCAGCACATTCTAAGCCTCCTGAACTTGAACTATGCACTCTTAATTCAACACCATAGGAATTAAAGTACCTCACACCCCCACCATTTCCTTTGACACACAAAAAGAAAAATAATTACATATAAAAAAGTACTGGAGTGGGAGCATGGCACACATCGCAGACTGCCTGCCTAGCAAGTACAAGGCCCCAAGATCAACCCCAGTACCACTAACAAAATAAAATAAAGAGTATCTTTTTTTTCTTCTTTCTTTGAGACAGTTTATGTAGCCCAGGCTGGCCTTGAACTCCTCCTGCTCCTCCTGCCTCAACCTCCTGCGTACTGAAATTATAGCTATGGGGACACCAAACTCAGCAAGAAAAATAATCTTTGAAAGATTAAAATCAGCCTATTACAATGCCTTTTCATGGTGACTTATCTTGCTTTTTGAACTTTAGAATTTGAACTCTTGGTTTTACACTAGAAATAACATTTTAGTGATGAGGTTGCAACAAAATTTTAAGATAATAAAAGCAATATACTAATGTGACATTTACTTGTTTGACTTATGTTCATACTGAAGCAAAAGCATCCTCCCCACTGCACTGTGAATATTAAATAGAACAACTGCATTTATAGCTCTCTCTTCAAATCAGGTGTTTGCCTTTTAAATTATCAACTGTTTCCTAACTATGATTCAAAATCTAGAAACCCTAAAAGAAAAGAATCCGATCACATTATGAGAAAAGAAAAGCAGTGCACACACAGCCTACTACACATGGTTAAAAAAAAAACTGCATGTCAAGTCAAAACAATACCAGACATGGTAGCACACAGCTGTAATCCCAGCATTAGGGGGTAGAGGCAGGAGAATTATAAGTTTGAAGGCAGCCTGAGCTACATAGTGAGTCTGAGGCTAGTCTAGAATACACAGTGAAACTCTCAGGAAAAAAAAAGTCAGACAACAAACTGAAAAGCTTTGTAAGCAACATCACAGACAAAGGGTTACTCTCTCTGTATGGACTGCAATAGAGAAAGAATGAATCCATCAGTCCAACAGGAGAATGGGTACAGGACACCAAGGCAGTACACAGAAAGGAAACACGGATGGATTTTAGTGTGGGAAAGACAAGTGACCTCACCCACACAAATATACAAATTAGAGCCACAGTAAGATGTCTTTTTAAAAGTTAACACTTGAAAACGTAAAGTTTGATCTTGAGAATACAAGACTAGCTACCATGGTGGTGGACTGTACACCAATGTGACTTCAAGGAAGTCAAGTTGGCGATAACCACCAAGATGGAAATACACACATCCTATGGTGTGACACTTCTTCTACTCCTCAGAATCAACTCCTCAGGATACAACTGCACATGTACAAGATGAATACAGAGCCGACTGTCATAAATGGTAAGAGATGGGAGAAACTGGACACCACTCAGGAATCAAATTATAATGTAATTCACAAAATGGAATATGACATGGTTTTTAAATAAGAAAGTATGCTGTGTACTGATACACAAAGAGTTCCTAGGTGTTCAGCAAAAGAAAGGAAAAGCAGGGTATGTTTAGTATGTAAAATAGAGGGACTGTCAGCCGGGCATGACACAGGTTTGTAATCCCAGCACTGGGAAGCTGAGACAGGAGGATAGTGACTTTGAGGCCAGTCTGGCTCCACAGCAAGTTCCAGCCAGGCTGGGCTACACAGTAAGACCCTGTTTAAGGAAAAAAAAAAAAAGAAAGAATATCTATATTTGATTAAGCACAGAAAGACAGGCAAGAAACTAGTGTCCAACTTTGGAGGATGATGGTGCTTAGAAATTACATGGCTGAGGGACAAAGAATTTTCAGGAAGGAAAGCTCTGTTTCATCTTTGCGCCACTTAGATGTGCTACCTATTTTTTTTTACAATCTGACTCAACAGTAGCATTTTTTCTGAAACTTTTTTTATCAAAATGGGAAACCAAATATTATGTTGACATCTGTGTGATTACAGAAAATTCTCAGAAACGTGTAGTTTACTCCTTCCCTCACTCTGATGATTCCATTTCAGGTCACCATGGAATTCCAGGAAGGGGGTTACCCTACTCCCTTAACTGGAAGGTCAGACAAAAACACAGAACAGTGCTTTTCAGACATTGGACAAGAGGCACACAGCAGATTATACCCCAGCCCCTAAAAGCAGCAGACACAGCAGCTCACACAAGGGATGGCTTTAGAATTCAGGGAGGTTGACATGGCTGCCATCTACAAAGCAGACACGAGAGAGAAGAGGGCTGCCTGGGAAAAGCTCCAGAGGCCTGCAGAGGGCTCCCTTCAGTGCTTGGTTGAGTACTTACACACACAAGTGTGAAAACACAAGTTAGGAACAGAACCACAGCCTGGTTAAGGGAGTATGTGGAATAATCCCAAGAGCTCAGTTTTCCTCCGTCAAAGGGGAAATGCCTCCTGTAGTGAGATACTGAGTAACCTCACAACACTGCTTCCAGAGTTAGGCCATGTGTGTCCTAGACAAAACAACAGTAGTGTGTCCATTCTAACAGAGCTTAAACAGTACCAAACTGATCCAAGTAACTGCATCCCAGAACAAAGACCAACAATATTTAAAGGAATACAACAAACTCTGGTATCTAAAACCAGACAATTCAAAGAATCTGACATCCAATCAAAAATTTCTAAGTATGAAGGCTGAGCAAGAGGGTACACTCCTATAATCCCAGTACCCAGGAGGTTGAGGCAGGAGGATCATGAGTTTGAAGCCAGTTAGGACTATATAGTGAGACCTTATCTCAAAGGGAGAAAAAAATTCCACTAGAATGATACAGGTAATGTTTAAAACTAAAGAAAGGAAAAAATATACTGCATGCAAGTAAACAAAGAACTTAAATGGCTTCCTCAATGTCAGACAAAACGTGAGCACAGTACACCTTGTGACAAGGGCTAACTCTTCAAGATGAAGCAATCCTAAGTGTGGATGTGCCTAAGACACAGCTTCTAAATGCATAAAGCAAACCCTGACAGAAATGAAACGAAACAAATTCAGGGGTTTCATTTTGGGATGGGACTTCATGGTTGAGAAACAGATGGGGTCTTGCAAACTATTTTCCTAGACTGGCCTTGTACCTCGATTCTTCCAATTTCGCCTCCCAAGCAGCTAGGATTGCAGGTGTAAGCCACTGGCACTTGGCTGGGTTTTTTTTCGGTGGGTACTGAGGTTTGAACTCAGGGCCTTGCACTTGCTAAGCAGGTGCTCTACCACTTGAGCCACACCCCCAGCCATTTTTGCTTTAGTTATTTTTTAGATAGGCTCTCACATTTTTGTCCAGGCCAGCCTCAGACTGTGATCCTCCTACTTATGCCTTCTAGTAACTTGGATTACGGAAGCACACCATTACACCTGGCTTGTTTGTTGAATGGGTCTTGCTAACTTTTTGCCTGGACTGACCTCAAACCTTGATCTTGCTGGTCTCCGCTTCCTAAGTAGTTGGAATTACAGGTGTGAGCCACTGTGCCTGGCCATAACTGATATAAGAGATAGGAAAAGCCAGTCATAACACAATACTTGAACAATGCTACAGACCAACTGAAATTTATAAAATATTCTTCCTAACGAAAACAGAATACACCTTCCATCTGACAAAACAATACTGGTACTAACTTAGGTACAGCAAATTCCTATTATGTACTAAGTACTTTTAGAATGCTATTTTGTAAATCCTCGTAAGCGTATCAGGCAGTAGTTTTGATACTCACAAATGAGGGGCTGAGGCTGAAGATGTGAAGAGGCCTTAATGGCGCTGTGATTTAAGTGGCATAGGCTAGAATTACCTGGGACCTGCATGCCAGAACTCCAATGCCTGAGCTCCTCCTGTGCCACAATGGCATCCACACACCAGAGGACCAAACCCTTTAAGGAAGGCCAGCCTGTAGAGGTCTGTGGAGTTCTGAGAAAATCCTCACCACCACTTTAATGTTTTGCTTGTCTACTCCCCTTCTCACAAACGTTTTTCCAAAGACACTTGATTTTTTTTTTTAAATCCTCTTTTAAAACATAAATGGAATGGGCTCAGGATACAGCTCAGTGGTAGGCTAGGCTCTGGGTTCTCCAGAACAAAGAAAAAGAAGAGTAAAGATTATAATTCTATTCACTATTTACAAATTACTAAGAGAAACAAAACTGACACTTGTTGTCTCTCATACTTTTCTAAGTCAGTCCCACGAAGGGAACAGAAGTCTGGATTAGAGGCAGAATGAGAGAGATCAGGTATGTGGTACTAGGAAGGGGTACAAACACCATGCCACCTCCCCTGCAGGTACAGCTATAGCCAGGGTACACATGGCACTGCTTGCTCTG